TACCAGGTTATGTCATGTATAGGGTTCCTATCCGCCCGAAACATGACATAACCTGGTATGGACACTTCAGAGTCGGCAATGTCGCCCAATAACAATTGAATTGTCTTTATCTTGTTACTATGGTGTCATATTTTGTTATTATAAGGCATTTTGGTTAATTAACTATGCAATAACTTTTGTATAATCGAATAGTTAAAAAATTGAATGAAATAAATGACTAACACAAAAGTTGCTTGAATAATGCTAGTTTGCTGTGTGAGGCTTCGGAGGAATAATTATATGTGGATTTTGACATGCGGTTTATAACAAGTGGACTGAACAGGGACAGGTTTTACACGAGACAGTCCCACACTACCAGTTCATCTGAAAACACGACTTCATTTCGAGATTCTAATCCATTTAAATTACAATCGCATCCGTCTCAAACAAACATTGACCTCGTCCCAATGAAGTCCAATGACCGAATGGATTAGGTGGAAAGCCTCANATCGCACTGCCTCTAATGGACTGCCAATCAAGTCGGTTTGTTTAGAATTTCCACAGCGGAATCTCAACCGACCGACAGAGTTCAACGCATGCGTGCGTTTTTTGATGGATTACTGAATTAGATTCAGTCGATGCCTTACAAACTTAATTTATTTTCACTCGGAAATATTCTAAATATAGAAAATTCTGTGGATAAACTTAGCTTGTGTCCGCATATCGTTGATTTGGGAAGCAGAAAAATGCAATCCTCCGTACATTTTTCCTCAACATTATGTGGCATAGCTTGAAATGGATTGAGTTTCATCTTTATTTGCAGTATTGAACGTAGTTTTATTGGTTGCATCTATGTTAAGCGAATTCTTTACTGTGCTGAGAGCTTTAATTAGCAAGAAAAAAATTCGTAGTGAGGTATATATATACATGTATATGAATGATCCATTGAAAAAATAATGAAGTAACTAAAAGACTCCGTGAAGTAATGGCTAAAATGTGTACTAAATGGAATGCAGTCAGGAGGTAGATAGTTAATGCCACCGATATAGTTAGGGTGTAGTTCTGACAGTATGGAGGGTGAAAATTTTGCAAATCAGTCACTCATTTCACTTCGCCTGATCCCGGTCCTGGTTTGCTAGCCTATTCAAAGATTTGAGGGGAACCACGATACGTTCTTGTCGCCAACGCTCTCCAGTTGCCATAGATATAGATAAGAAACCACAATTTCTCAGAAAGAATCATATTGGGTCTTAAAGTTACAAAACACTAAAAATCATATTTTTTCTCTTGGAAGCACGTCGTGGATATGAATCCAAGCAACTAACTCAACGAATGTCTTACAAAACTTTAGCGACCTAACTGTGGCCATTTGATTGATGAAAGCATTCGCATCTGAACATTTCATTCAGTTTTCTACACTACTGAAATGGACGAAAGTAAATAATATCACTATCGATTTGACTAGTCTCAAATACGTACATTCTAGGACTGAATGTAGCGCACCGATAAAATCATTGAAGCTTCGAAATTGAAGCATCAATTTCGTCTCAGGTTGCAAGATTTCACATTTGTTTCATTCCACAATGCGGATTTTGGGTAACTTCTTCTGAATTGGTTAGATTGTTAATTTACCATAGTAAAACATAATTTGTTTATATGGTACAGCAAATCACTATTCGTCTATTTTCTTATGGTGTCACGGTGATGTTCGGTGGAATTAATCATCATCAAATCATTCATGGGTTGATGCGTTGAACCCCTTGGCCCAACATCCACAGTCTATCTTTCTACTTCTCTTTGTTTGCAAGACAGCCCAATAATGCGTCGCATTCTCTTTCTCATAATATTTTGTACGCAATTAGGCATGAAATAAAGAAGAACTTAGGAAAATATGCCAAGGAACAGTGCATTTTCAAACGAACCTCTCGCTTCACAGTCCAACTGTGCATTTGAATCCTCTTCGGCTCGTTTATTACCGTCTGCATCCAACCCATCGANTTCAACGGCGCCGTCAGTCGCTGTATGATGGATGGAAGCAGGGGGTTGGGTGGAAGAAGAGGTGTACAATGAGTTTTGGGCAGTTTTATTCGTCTTTTCTAATTGCTCGATGATTCAATTTCCCTCAAGCGCGGGAAATGTGTGATCATATTATCCCCATATTTTGCATAGCATTACTTCTATCTTACCCCAATAGCCTGTAGGCGATGTCTGATAATCTTCCATTTCACGTGTGCTTTCTAGCACAATGTGGAAATAAGGTGATCGGAAAACTTGTTCACCCAGGCGAACGGTACAGCGGCCGGAAACTGCTTTTCCCATTGGACCAGGACGCCTCACGGTAGTCAATTTCAGTTCACTCACACCGATCTCCTCGCCCGAGGCATGCAGAGCTGGTTGCGTGATCACAATCTCACCGTTACTCAGTTGGTTATAATCTAACATTTGGCCTCCAGGTTGATTACGTAATTCCCAGCTGAATAATGGAGTAATTTCAGCACTGGGAACAATTCGTTTGAGACTGACAGCATCTGTTTCAGACAGGAAAAAGGTGAACAGAAAAGAATTGCTGATATATTTATTCAGAAGAAGGACTAGGGATATCGGGAAAACTCGCTTAAAAACAAAAAGGGCTGAACAAGAATGTATTCAAATATCCTCTTCAGAAGACAAGTGTTTTAGAGCTTGAAGTTACGAAACGGGTACTGTATATTATTTGTGCTAGAAAGGCCATGAAAGAACACCGGACAGCAATGTGGTCCTTGTTGATATCGGTTCAGAATGTGCGCTGCTCTTCTGTCCCCACCGGGACTTCAACTTTCACCGACCGTCTAAACACAGTAGACTGATTTATACTGGGGTCTGTACATGCGAATGGTATAGTACTACAAATAACACTGTCAAAGGAGCGATTTTGGCTTTGTGAAGAGCAAAACAAGAATTTTATCCACATGTTTCTCCACGGATTGTGTAGAAGCAGTTCGTTTCCAACGGAAGTTTTTGTTTCTAATTTGAGATGCATTGTTTATTGGTTTGATTGTAAAACAAAAACCAAACATCGATGATCCTGTAATTATTCAATCAGAGTATCCATTTTCAATGTGAGCTTATCTCAATTCTCGAAAATTGATCTGTTTTCTAAATGTCTTAATCGGTAAGTTGAATGCATTAGTAACTCCGAAATGGGGGATGATTTTGTACCCTAGTAATCATCACCGTTCATGAAACAATCCTCTACCAACACAATTTTTTCCATGTTTTGGGGTACACAGGATTTGGGAATTAAACGTACCGAGAGCCATACAAGAGAGTTTCAGATCAGATCCAGGATCGACACGAACTACATTTTCAGAATCCAAATTGTGCACCTTGACAATGACCGCATCCCTTGGTTCTGATAGGACAGAAATATAAAAGTAAAAGATGAAGAACTTGAAAAAACATCAATGGAGAGCACTTAACGAAATTATAATTCGGTCCTTTGAGTTGATGCAGAACACGGTTGGCTCTTTCAGAACGATTTCTCATAAATTTGTTGCCCTTAGTATTTAATACGATCACCTATTTCACTTGATTATGACCGGTTTTGAAAATTAGTAAAGAATCTGAATGATCGCAAAAATAAACTGTAGTGTTTCTTAAAAGTATTTGTGGAACTCGTCAGTGTTTGTTGTCTCAAACTGCTTCCATTAGTAAACGAAACCTTTAAATCTCACGGCTCATTGAAATCAAATTCACAGAAACTCATTCCGGAATTTACTCTTAAAAACAGAGATATTCTGCAGTACAATCGACACCACGGGTACGATGTTCAATGTGATATATTTGCTGATATTCGATGAATTAATCGTCTTTCTAATTACACCCCACAAGCGCATACTCGTCGTAGATGAAGAAGATGATTTAGACTAAAATTGACACTGAGATTGTGACTACAACTACTGTATTTTAAATTAGTATTGTTATTTTACCAAGTTCTTAAGTAATCGGGTTTTGTTATTGTTCTGAGCCTGCATTTAACGTTTGAATTTCGAACGTTTGTGCTTAAATGAGTATTTATTCCTGCTAGCTTTATACAATTTAAGCCCCTCTCAAATTCAGTTCGGTTCGACTCAGCAATTATCATTCGCTTACTTTTTCCCGGTATCCAGTTGATATAAGGAGTATCTTTTGTTTCATCTGGTTTCACCGCCTCTTTCACATCGTCCGGTTGTTCCACATGAATGACAAATGCATCCGAGTTCAAAACGACCGGTGTCTCAGGATACTCATCTGGTCTAGACAACTGCTCCTCTGTCAGACGTACTGTACAGTGACTACGCAAACCGCCGGTTCCCGGTGGTGTGCGCCGTAGTCCGTGCAACACGAGCTCGCCCTTATTGATGATCACCGTTTGGGCCAGGTTATTAAGCGGTATTGGACGAGCATCCGGACCGGTACCGAGAGTCCAACCAATATCGAATTCCTCGTTCTCAATCGGGATACCAGTGGTTGTATCTAGGAAGTATACCGTGTAACGTAGTTAGCAAAACGCTGCACTAAATTATGTATACATTTTGAAACACTTGAAATTTTCTTTTGCAGTCTGTAAAAGTTGCCTTATATTCTACTCTGCATGAAATCATTTTCCATTTTAAATTATATGCTCCCGCAAGTCTCTCTTAAGACTGTGTAACAAACAAATCTTAGGAAATCATTTGAGGAGTGCTACTAGGTTATCCAAACCAAAGCAGATTTACTTTTTGGTTAATCAAGACCCAACCCACAAGTCGGCGGGGCGTTTTACGTAAACCTCAATCTATCGGACCCGCAGTTTATCGGCTTCTACACCGTTGGACGTGTCAAATGTCAGGAAACCTCAAAGCCTAATTAAGCCGGTGACCACTACAAAACCAAGATGTTCGTATGGCTCATGCAGAAGGTTAGTTTCGAACCAGAGTTCTCAGTCAACTCTAGTAGATGAGCTGCCAGTGATACACCGATCCGGCTGAAGGCTTTTCATCCTCAAAATTCTTCGCAAATTGATTTCATTGTATAAATATATAGGCATTCACGGCCTTTTTCTCTAGATAATTTCCAGTATCCTATTCCCAAAACATCGTTTCAGACTTTATATTGTTAAAAATGTACATACCTGATCAAAAACTACAATACATCTATCTCCTCTTTTAACAAACTAAAGCGGTGAAGTTTCAATCTACATGACTACATTTTCCTAAAGCAAAATACAATAAACAAAAATTAAGCTAGATTATCAATCAAAATTGTGAGGTTAATTTATCCAGCATAACTCTGTTAAAGATATTCATTCTCATTAAAAACAATGTAAGTTGAAACGTACCAATAACTTTGCAGTTCAGCGTCACATCTTCACCTTCTTTCTTGGACAAAGTACCATCTTGATTCAGGCCGCTTACTTCCAGCTCCAGAGTGTCAGGATCTGAGTGGCGTAAAGCAAAGGTCAACATAACGGTTAAACGCGAATGTAAACCTCTTTTGAGTGTCTCATCAACATTTTCCCAAATATGTTTGCTTAAAACCTCAGATTGTCACAAATTCATATGTATCACTCTTACCATAAAGTCGTTTGACCTCCTTCGGCGGTTCCGCAGGTACCTCCACCTCCTTGGCTGTCTCGAATGTGTAGATGGGTGAAGCATAAGCTGCCCCACGATGCTTCTCCACAGGTGCAGTATCGGTTCCGGTAGCTACACAGCGTACCTTAACACCATCTCCAGTGGACCGATAACCAACCACTCGCAATTCGCCACCGTCCTCTGATAGAAAGTCTCCCGTCTCAATGTGACCTGAAAGCAACTGACTGTCCAGGGGCATATTGTCTGGAGAGCGCACCTCCCAAGAATACTTGAGTCCTTCAATCGGCTTGCCACTTGGAACATCTAAACAAATAAAAATATATATTCAGTTTCAGAATCATTTTCATTCAAGAAATACACTGCCGCTTTTCGTTTTATCTGACAGTAGTGCCTTTTGAATAACGTGATGTTATCATGGGGGCTAACCACTTATTGCACGTTGTCCGGTGAATAGCATCTACAATATTTTGCAGGTCTGTTTTCAAAAAAAAATTAAATACGCACTTACCAATGGCATAGCATCGTAAGTTCACATCACTTCCGGGAACAGACGGTATAATATCGTTTGGACCGGTACCATTAATCTTAACAAGAACCTTCGGATCTGTAAAGGTAAGACGAAATGGGAATCACTTCCTATGAATTAAGTCAACAGTTGGGCTGTATTCAACAGTCCAATACTAACCTCACTGGGTGCAGTAATATGCCAATTAGTTTACAGGTCTAACTGAAACTGAAGCAACGGGTCCCTGTGAAACACTTGTGGGTTAATATAGGCAATCAAGGTCAGGCACGTTTAATTGAAAATCAGGTAGCCTAGAAACTATGTAGATCGAAATGGACAAGAAATAAATTATTGTCCATACCTTAGGCATTATTATGGATGATAAATGTAATGAAACTCAACTTGATCAGAAAGAAAATATTTTAGTGCATTACAATCGGACAGCACTGTATGTGTTATAGTCAAAAAAATAAATAAATAAATGTATTTTGACTTCTTTTTTCTATTTATTGAATATAGAAATTTACAGCCAACTTTCAGGAAGGGAGCTGCAACCCTACAAAGGCTGCCTGGGGAAAACAATGTTTATGTATCAAATTATTGGATTATTTTACTGTTCAAGCGTTAGATGCATATTGCACGACATTGACACATGGAAAATTTTCAATCTCAAAATGAACTGATATGGCTGATAAAGTTGAAAAAGTATGAATGACAAATTTTTGTCACTGAGTTATCTGGGCAATACCGCTGAAAATAAATCAACGAAATCCTTCAAGTAAATCTAATAAACCTCAAACAACTCGAACCACTTAGAACATTGGGGAACCACTGCCAATTTTATCGTGAGAATCATTTTCATTTTAAGCAATCGTTATTGAATTTCGGTTCCTGGTATCACTGTGGTTCCCTATCTGAGGCACCAAAATCCATCGGTATTTGGTTAAATTTACCGTGTGTGAATCTTCCAATCACCACGCGTTGTTCTTTCAGCTCTTCCGGTTTTGCAGGAGCCTTATCCGGTTTGGTCACGCCAGACCAGAAGTACTTGGAAACGTATCGTTTCGGTATCGTGTCATTTGTGGTCACTCCCTCGATCGATTGACCACCAGGCACATGTAATACTATGCAACGTCCCTGATACCATGTGTCCGCCTTGACACCCTTCAAAGTCAGTTTGCTACCACCGTTTGGTTGTGGTTCCTGTTTTACCTCGTCCGCGATATGACCACCGTAAACATCCTCACTATCTGGAGCAGCTTCGGTGAATTGGAAGTGGTAAATTGCTTCACGTTGTGGTATTATGTCTTGGTTCGACTTGTCTATTGGAAAATCAAAGGGATATGACAATAGAGAGAGATTTATTCAACCTGAAGGAAAATATGCACAAGCTTTTCCTAGTAAAAATTCCACAGGAGTACTCCTTTAGGATTTTCAAACTATTTTAGCTCCTTCGAAAGTTATCTTCACGCTTATAAAGTGACAATCAGAATAAACCAACAACTTAACGTTTCCATTGATTTTATTATTACTATTATTATGTGGATGATACAAGCGTAGAAGGGACGATTTACATTTTTTTCTCTAAATCACTAAATATTGGTTCGTGGGATTGAGAAAGGTCATATAAGAGCATACAGCGAATAAAAAAGGAAGGAGAGATCGGGATTTCTCCGACTACCGAAATCGTCATAAATTTGTCATGAAAATTCTTAAGCGCAAAATTGTATACAAAATAATGCCTTGATAGCAAAAGAAAACCTACCACGGGCTTCACATTCAAGTTCCACATTGTCTCCCTCTTTAGCAGTGAGTACTCCATCTTCCGGAATTCCTTTCACAATCACTTCTATCGGGTGCGCAGCTGGAATTAAAATTTTCATTCATTTAGACAATTACCAATTGAACATATTCGGATTATGACTATCAAAAATGTGTCTTTAATCTTCAAACGTCCTGTTCACTAAAGACATATGTAATGTGGGATATTTAAACCCATTTTATTTATTCTGATTGACTATCTGACTAAATATTAAGTTGTTCATTGTTTGTTTATTTGGCATCACAGAGAATGTGCAGGGTCGGGGAAATAATTTAAATATGCGATTGATTATCTGAGTAAAGATTTTGATTTCCATAAACCACAAAATATTGTCAAAGTTATTATTGTCTACGCATTTATCTTTTCTTGTAATCAACACAGATTATTAGTTTTATAACAGCAAACGACGAGCGGAATAGAACTATACATTAAAAATAAACAATGCAGTTTGTGCGACTCACGATCAATTACACCTTCCGGAGCAGGACGTCGGACATCCACATGGAAGTATGGTGACTGATAGGTGTGTTCTGTTTCACTGTTGTATACCAAACATCTTCCAATACGCTGTTGATCCCCGGGTAACTTGTCTGTCGGTTTCAGATGCACAAATGTGATGAGATGACCTTCACGATAGACACGCTGTGCCAGCTGATCCGTCGGTACAACTTTTCCTCTGCGATCCCGAATCTCCCATGAATATGTGGCCGTATGTACCGGTTCTCCGGTCTCCGAATCTAAATTCGACGAGTTAAATTGCTTGGGATCAGTAACAAGTGACAGATCAGTATTATTTCGTCGCGAGAACAAAACAAAAGATTCACTTTCGAACCCCACTCGGTTTCAAGTGCAAATTTGCAGCTTTTATTCTCATTTCGTTCAGTTCAGCAGTTCAGAGTCATTGTTTGAATGAAACTGTTTCACCGCTACTCGCTTTTTAACTGATCTTCAAAAGAGCAAGAATTTCTATTTTGACTAGATAGACAGCTCGTATATTCGTGAAACAGTCTGTATTCAGCTAACAAAAACAGTACATCACGATCACATGGAGAATAAACCATTGAAGAAATGATTGATAACTGTGTTTCACTCTGCAGTTCTGTGCAGGATAACGCTCATTGGCTTTCTTCTGTCTGGTCCTAATCGAGTTCATCCAACTGAGTTAAATTGATCTATTTCTCCCGAACTTGCCCATTGTTCAAACGGACCCCAGTTCGCATTCATGTTCCAGTGGTGTACCCTAAACCAATTGCCTGAGATATATAGATTCGAGGAAATCATCCACCATTATTTTTTTTTTTGTTTTTTCTAGGGGTTATTTATTTTTTATCCGTGACCAAATAAAAGTTTCATCAGTTGAAGAAATTGAGGCGAACCTGTGTTTTCATCCAAATTTCGACGACCTACAATCGAAAGGATTTTCTTCATAGAAACACAGTGATCTGAATAATAGACATCAGGACAGTTACAGATTTAATCTTCCAACTCTATTCCCCTATAAATGTATATGACTGAATTTGGAGTGTGAAAAAGGCATTCCATGAGAATTTTTCTAAAATCTGAGATAAAACCGATAATGCTGAGTAAGCATCGCAAGCATACAAACATACGCATTGAAAATAGTATTCCCTGACGAGAGGTGCCTCAAATGATCCGTCCGCGACTGATGAAGCGGAGCTCTTCTGTCATCAACTAATATTGCTTCACCCAATACAACGATAGGATGCATTATGCAATCAGTAGTGAAAAACCTCGAGAGTAGCTTAAACTAAGTGCATCAATCAATATTACTAAATTTAGCTCCTTATCCAAAGTTTTCTTGTCACTCGGTCTCCAGCGCGTGAACGCCCTCGATTTCAAAGGTGAATAAAAAGTTTGACCGTATTTTTACCGTCACAACCTACCTTTGGCCACACAGGTAAGTCGGACATTATCTCCAGTTTCGGCTTGAAGCGTTCCCTTCTTGTTGAGGCCTTCAATTGAAACAATTGTCTTTGTTCCTTTCACTGCAGAGGTTCAGACAAAGAAGAATAGCTTTCAGCTCATGGGGCGTGTCAAAAGTACTGAACTGATTACTCATCATCATCATGTTCATCGTACACCAAAATAAAATGGTGCAAAATATGTTGATCATTGCAAAGCTCATGATGTACACAAAGTAGATGAGGATGTAAAATATGGATAGAGATTAGGGCTAACTGGCGGCTGGGGAAGAACTTAAACCTTTATGGTCAGCACACGGAGTACACAACTCTACTGTGTATTCACATAGAACTTCAAGCATTCTGTTCTGATATGAAGTGACATCAGGAATGACAACGCAGTCGGTTAGTTGCCGTCTCCTTCAGGCTCCCCAACCAACTAGTTGCATATGCTTTTGGACCCCAATTTGGAAGATGGGAAACGCGTACTCTGTTTAACAGTTATGTGCGTTTTCTTCCTGCCTGGTTTCCACGTCATCTGTTGATCTCCACGTAAGTTAAACTAAACTAGGACAGCAACTCGTAAGTGACCACTAAACTACGTCAAATCGTACAATATGTTATATGGCTCACTAAAGATAGATACATATAATATTCGATATATTGGAAAATATTTCTAGTTATTTAAATATAACTTCTTAGCTCACCCCGATGGTGGAATTCAAACATATTTCCTCTTCAGGGATAAGTTGGTGACCTTAAACACCTAACCACCTCCACCCAGTAACTACCTGACTGTTTGGTACACTGGAATAAATAAATTATTTTATTATGAGAAAGACCAACAACCTATGTTCTCAAATCTAAATTTAACGATGCTGTACGGTATAGCCATACATCGGAAGGTAAAATACAATATTATTTGCCGTGACCCAGATGAAATTCATACCCACAAACTCCATGATAAGTTCACCATCTACACCACTTTTGAGTCAGTTGCTTATGTCAAGCACACAAATATTTAACTTTACCCACCGTCTTTTCCGCCCGGTGTGTCCACAGCTGTTCCTCCCTCATTCACGGCAATACCAAAGTTGTCCGAAGTGTACAGAATTCTTTCGGCAGACTCCTTTGTTGTGCCATCTGGACTGGTCTCAGTCTCGATCAGTTCTGCCCGGACCACACAACGACCCTTTATTCCTTTGGTAAAGGTTGTGGCTTTGTCCGAGGCGCGCAGACTTCCCAATTCGAGGATACCATCTTTCTCCGATATCTTGACGTTATCTGCCAATACTGTGACTGGCACAGGGTTTCCGTGACCATCAAGGAATTCCCAACCACGAGATAAGATGACGCCTTGTACTCCGTCCTTGACTAAATTTTGGAGAGAAATTAAAATTGGATAATTAATTTCATGAAGTTCGGATAGAAACTTTCACCATCTATGGTTGGATTTCTGACACATTTAACATTCCATCCCAAAAATCAATAGTTTTGTTTTAATCAACTCGCACGTGGAATTATTATAAATTTTTGGAACAATCACTGGTGTCAGATAATCGCAAATATTTGTCACCTGTCAGCACTGCCTGAGCATTCTTTATCTGACTTTTACTGAACACAACAGAGCATCAACGTTTTGCACGCTAGAAATCGAAAAAATCTATGGAAAACCTGATATTTTGATTGCTGTTTATTTTCTAAATACTTGCAAATTTAATCAAGGGGATTTAAATTAGAATGGTAGAAATAATTGCACATCAGACTGGAACCTGAATCCATTCATTGTTATAACGTCTCCTGCAAATAACCTAATAAGTGGTCAAAATTTGAAACACCAACCTCGAACAGCTTACCCGTAGCTTTGCAGTTGAGTTCCGAATCGCTACCGATTTTGCCAACGAAATTTCCATCCGAATCCAGTCCTTCAACTGTTACCTTGACTCTGTCATCATCAGCTGTTAATGAACATTACAGAAATAGAAAATGGAACACCGTTCAGTGCATCAACATCAACTTTAGGCAATTGTTATATATATTTCATATATGTGGCACATGGATGTGCTGGTGGTACACATTCAGTACTCACTATGAGCTCTATTTTCACCAATCTGTTCGTGAACTTCTTTTGCTGCATCCTCTGCAGTCTCGTCCTTCGCAAATACGTCAAATGTGAAGTAAGGCGATGCATCCCAGCCATCATCATCCACAGCCAAACAACGACCTTTTACTGTTCCACGATTTCGCTTCAATCCTTCTAACCGAAGTGTACCATCCGTTGCACTCAGTGAGTCCGTGACCACTTCAGTGGTACTAACAGGTTCATCGTCCATGCGCTTGAGCTCCCATTGATACGTTATATCTTCGGCTGGAATACCAGTCTTAGCATCTGAAATCAAAGGTGCGCAAATAAGAACACTGATCGACTAAACTAGATTACATGGACGAGATTAATGAGTTATATCTCTGTTTAGGTGTGAGTACGCAAGTACAGAAGTTTGACAGTAATAGACCACTTGAACTACATATCAGTTGTTAGTAGTCAAACACGAAATCCACTTCCTGGGACAGATAAAGCCAAATATAAGGCAATTCGACCGAAAAAATAAGATACACGAATGCGAACAATCGGTTTCTCTGACTGTGAACGACTATTCCTCTGCAGTCTTTCATAAACAAATCTATGTATATTTTCGTTACATTTTTTCCTGTATAACGAAATTGGCTTACCGTATGCCTTGCAGTTCAGTTCAACCGTACTGCCAGGTTGTGCAGATAATTGCCCCTCGTTGTCCAGGCCATTAACACGAACGCGGTACTTGGGATAAAGTGACGGTTCTGAATGTAGAGTGACAAAGCAGTACATGGGAGCGTATCAGTCTCTGTGTTAAATTGACGTGAAAATAACGCGTCCAAATTCTCAGGATACTGAAGAGGGTTGATGACAAACGAGGGCTTGTACGGTTTCAAAGGTAGTGTCAACATGCTGGTGAATATGTTCTATCCAAATTGAATACATTCATATCAGATGAAAACAAACAATGTACGTGTAATATTGCATCACTACAGCCTACTTCTTTTAGGTCCAAAGTAAACAAAAAACCCAAGCGTTATTTATTATGTTGCTAATCCGAGACCAGACGAAACGGGGTACATCGATGAACTTATATTTTCCTACAGTGACCTTTATTTAATTACGATTATTATGATACCACCCGGGTGATCGATTTTATTCCATGCTTTTATCATTCTGGAATGACATTTGGTTGGTGTAAGATCAGTATTTCAGTTGTCTTTAATCAGTTTCGCTTCATGTTACATACAAAATGATTTCGTTCTAATCTTAAACAGCAAACCGTGACTGGTTTGTTTTACTTACGGAGTGTTTAGTTGCTTCCTCTTAACCACTAGATTCTTGTTTTTAGAATGGTTCTTTTAGCAAGTTGCAGCTCTCACATCAAAATGAAGTTTAAATCACCGCTTGGTTGAAAGGTTTTTTGTTTTTATAAGATAAATTCCGATAAAAATGTTAGCCAATTCACATTCTTCTTTGTAGTATAAGATGGTGTTCAGGCTCCAGGGAGGCTCTAGAATAAAACCCTGCAAAATGTTAGTCGTCTCAGCGTTTCACATCTAAAACGAACAGCGTTCTGTTACCTGGAGCTACTGGTGGCGCATCTTCATCACTCAACACGAAACGGTAGAATGGAGAGGTGTACACCACAGTTCCGTTCAACACACGACAGCGCAAATGGGCCGAACCCTCTGATGGAGTTTGAGGTGCTGCTTCAATCATTAGCACACCAGCCTCTTTTTCAGAAGCTTTGTTCACAAATGGACCGAGAGTACCGTCTAGATACGGTCCGTCCGCCGTGGGTCTGAAACGCATGTCCCAACCGTAAATCACATTGTGTAGAATTTCTCCTGTTTCAGCATCTGAAACAGAAAACACGGTAGAGATTATGAATCCTCGATTGTCTCATACCATTTCACGTTAAGTCGAACATCGGCTGGCAGTTTTTAGCACCATAATTGAGCTTTCAACATGAAATAAATGTGTTGCTACTTTCCTAAGAAAAGCGATACAACACTGCAATTAGAAGTGAATGCTTTCCTATTCTCACTGTGGATGACTATTTGCACTGGCGGAGGCGGGGAATGGTTGAAATGCTAAATTTGATCAAGTTGATATTCATTTCCTCTGAGTTATTTCGCCATAAAATTATGCTGGCAAACGAAAGAAAACCGTTCCAATAAGTGACCAAACTGAACTTCACTTCGATCAGTTGTGAGTTTTGAGTTTTGTTTTTATGAAATAGAAATGACCATCTGGGATTACAACCTGAATGGTAGCGTTCCATGTACCATCACGGGCGTACAAATTTTTTCAGTATTTCCTATTACAGTAAAAACGTTTTCAGCAGGCGATTCAAACTCAGAGCCAATATCAAATGGCTTAAGGTTACGAGTCTTCAACTCTTCTTTTTGTGCTCAGCAATTCATCAAGTCACCTACATTTGTGTGGAGTAAAAGAGGAGATTTTAAGCTTGCAGACTGCATATGACTGACGGGAAACCCAGTACATTGGGCACATGTTTACTTACCTCTTGCAGTACATGTGAGATTCAGAGTCTCTCTTGGCACCACCTTGGCAAGCATTCGCTTTTTGTCGATTCCGTTGACAATAACGTTGACACGTCCATCACCTGAAGAGAAAAAGAACATTTACTTTTGTATTTGGTCCTAGAATATTGTTATGCACCAAGTGACCAGAAAAATCTAAATGTCTTGGGGAGAAACAACCGACGTCACTTTATCATTTCAAGTCCTCAAAATGGAAACAAATCAGTGATAACTTGCTGTGATTTACAAACATTTTGGAGTAGAAACTCACTTTATTACCGAGGTATCGCAAACATATAACAATAATGAATGTGTTGCTTGGAATCTTTTCACTCATCTTCCACAATCACGAAAAATTAGTTAAGAAACGTGTTAGTTTTTTCTGTGAATACCAATTTGACCACACAGCTGCAAGACGGTGGGTACATTCCATTCAATTGCTGGGTAAATAGCCAATACGAACAAAACTGCCCATATATCGTTCGAACTGGTCGTTTTATTTACGACTGTTCATTCTGTGCTGTTAATTCGATCCAAATGTTGTTTATTTTGGCAAACGTGTCAAAAAGATCTCTTGCTCATTTACGCTTATCTAAATGAGGAATACAAACTTATAGATCACACTCCTCTGTAATATTAAGAAAATACTCCGACAGCTTCAGGTTTGATTCCATCTGTCACAGCTTCAAATTGCGTACTGTGTGGTTTCTAATTTCCTGTCTGCGCCGGTTTTCCCCATGTGGGTTATCCAATGCGTATTACTGTGGTCCTCCTCCAGTCTTTGGGCAACATCTGTAATTTCCTTCACAAAACACAGCTATTGTATTTGCTGCTCACCGCGCACTGCTGTCTGTACTTAACCTCATTATCCACACAATCCCTCAGAACCGACTCAGTGATTCGTGATCCGGTCAACAGGTCGCATGCAGATAAAACGGATTTATCAAAGCTCCCGAAATGAACAGTTTTACATACAGGAAACAGTGGGATCATTCTTCTCGCTAAGGCCTGTGGCCGACGAGGAACAGGGGTGGTCGCTTAATCTGATCACAGTCGTTAAGGCAACTTAATACCCGTATTTGACACAGTGTGAATCAATTAGGGATCGCCAAAAGCAATCCCGCATTTGAGTAGTGTGTTCTGTGGTATTAGATACCCAAATTTACGACAGTTTCATCATCATCCGATTCATCATCGTTATCGAGCGAAGTCCCGAGCTTGAACCATCAAGAGCGCAGAAACAGAAATGCCCTTTTCCCCTTTTTGTGGCACATTTTGCTGTAGATCAATAAAAGGTATATATCTGAGCACTGAACGAAGGCTTCAAGTGGTAGTTCTTTATGTGTACACGATTCAGAATGATCACAGATTCAATGAAAATTTTCCTATGCATTCGTAGTACATTTGATCGGATAGGTATTATGAACCGAAGACAATCTCATTACTCCAATCTCTGATCAGACGTGTACATTGGCAGATACTACCTGATGAAAATTTGTAGCTTATCGTTATCTTAATGAATGCACCTGTGTACTTTAGTTGGTTGCGATCTTAGAATGAAGGATAGTCTCATGTTCCTTTCCTTTCCGTGAACTGTACCAACTTTTGGGGGCTTGTTCAAACACAATATGAAATTCCCCGATCGAATAGTAGTTATTCAGCCATTTGCGAGAAAACCTCTGATGTTTCTATTTATGAATTGATGAAGCCGAACGCAGAATGATTCCGGATGCTTTTTTAGATGGTGAATGTTTGGATGAGTCCATTCAGATTTTCAAAGGAACCGGGCACTGTTGATGATATTGGATGTGGGTTTTACTCTTTGGGAGATCGGTAATTCCCCACTGTTTGTATGCATTTTAAATGCGATGGAAATGTTTGTGATAACCAACAAAGAGCGCTGGACCCGAATGGGCTATTCCAAACTTTCACCATCTAAATTGATTGGACCATTCGCCCAACGTGATAACCGCCGACCGTGTAGCTTAAGGGTAAAAGTTTGAAGTCCCAGCCCGAACAATCGCGGTTCGAGTCCTGACAGGGACACAAAAAGTAGGCACTGTTGACGAGTCCCAAACAGGACGAGACAGCTGTCCAATGTTCTTTGTTGGTTATCAAAAACATCTCCACCGAATTTAAAATTCCAAATGCATTCGTACACAAATAGAACAGATGAGGTGGAAAAAATATTTTTTCTACGGTATGCTCATGACACTGATCCCACTTGCTGAAATGACCAGAGAACTTTAAGTCCATCATGAACAACGTAATTTGTCAGCTTATATTGGAACGTGATATTATCTCTAGTTCCATAAGTGGGCAAAAAATTGAATGATAACAGACAAAGAAAACTTGTTTTGGGGTATACGGGTTAGAGTTGAAAACTGTATTGATTTGAGGTGGGCTTCCGATGAAGACTTTTGATGGGATATTATGTGTTTATTTGGCAATAATTATCCGAATGTGGTTAGTCATACTTGTATCCAGTAACCTAAAGGGACATAAAGAGACCAATTTGAGGTCATGTAGATGTACCCATCTACATCTTTTGATGGTATGTAGTAAAGAGCAAATGCTGATTCAATGATACCTATTTCACTAACTTTGGGGGCTTATCGATGCGTTTAAACTCGACGGATAATAAACTTTTATTCATTAACAAGTGTAGGTGACGTGAATATTCTGCACCCAATCCGCTGGACAGTAGCCTAGTAAACGGAAAAGCGGACACTGAAATCTCGTCCCTAATTAATATGTTACCGATCAAACATGTAATTCTATTAGCGCGTGCATTTTACATTCCAATGTATGTCTGTAAATATCATCAAGTTATTCACATCCACAAGCCGGTGTCCGAGGAAAGATACAAAACCGTGGACCTTTTCAGAACAACATTGCAGTTTTAACAAAAGGACTGAATAATCGTGTCAGTGAATGTAAAAAACCAGCACTCTTTTGGAACGAATAGCATTGCAGTAAACAAACAGCAAAGCATAAAGACCGGTTGTCGAGGGGATTCGGGTATTGACTGACCTTCAACTTCTGCACCTTTTGGCACCGTAATCACTTTAATGCGGAAATATGGCGATCGATAAACTTGTCCATCTCTCTGGACCACACAACGTCCGCTTGCTTGTTCCTGTTCCCCGTCGATTGGTTTGAGTTGATACAAATTCAACACTGCCCCATCTTGGACCATCTTATTCGCAAGCAATGCCATGTTCAGCATTCCACCAGACTGTCTGCGCATTTCCCAACCGAAAGCCACATCATTCAGCTGCTCGCCAGTTGTGGAATCTGTAATTCAAACATACGCAATGAATTTGTAAGTTTGTGGAAAAGCAGATAGCATATCTCACCGTTGTAACATACTCTGACACCCTCATAAACCAATAGAAGTATTGTATAAATATAGTAAATAGGCTGAGTTGTAAAATACAGAAAAATTGATCTGTCATAAGTAGTTCTGAGAATTACGTTAGTGTAGAATTTCCACTATCCGTACTTTAGGCATAGGTACTTCTGCACACGTTTATATCAACCAGGACTAGACAACCAGTACCACGTTGCAAACAAAGAAACATTCACTGTACAGATGATGAAATAAACGACCCTTAGAGGTTAGCGGATCAAGCATGAGCTATGATAATAAGCAGATTTCGAACTCTGGTTTTCCCCTAACCTCACAAAGTACTGCCATGTTGCGCTATGCTGCATTCATTCAGCATAAATAAAAGAGAAGTGACTTTCTGTTTCAATAAAATCCTACCTCTATCTTATTCCCTATCTTCCTTTTGTAACAATGAAGTTTATTTATCATAAATTTTCTTTCTTCAAGTTTACGCTTAAGTATTACCCGATAATGAACATACACATAGAAAGGGAGAAGTTTGTCGACACTTTTTGGGAGAGCGATCGGTTTAGGAATGGTAGACTGCAACACCGTTGGTCTCAATATCATGTTCGACTATGGGTATCTTAGCACCTTTGCATTATTCTAATGGGTGCCTTGGCCTTTCCATGGGGGGGAACAGCGTTTAAGATGGGATGTCTGCACTGGTCCCAGAACATTAACAGCTGGGGAAACCGGTTCAACAAACTGAAAGAGAAAGCAATATTTTGTGTTCGCTGAACTTGAGAGTCCTCACATCGCGGACTTCTGGATTAAATTCACTGAACGCCTGGCTTATCCAATGAGAGGCACACTTACCCTCTGCAACACATCGCAGTTTTATATCTTCTCCGGGTTGAGCCGTTAGCGTTCCATCAGGACGTAAACCTTCAACGCGTAGTCGAACTTTGTCTCCAGTGACTGGAAGGGATTAACAAGAATGGATTTTGTGACCAATACCCGAACTATCAGTTTAATATTCAGTCTTCAAGCACTTAATCAATTATAGTCATATACATTTGGAACGCTGAACTTTTAAGGGAGAATGCATCCGACTTGCAGATTATTGCATCATACTTAGGTGAAACTAGTTTAACTTACTATCAGGAGGTATCTCTCCGGGTCTCGAATCAGCTGTCGACGTTCCATCCTTGCGAGTGATTTCCAATGCGAAGTATTCCGAATTATAATACTTCGCTGGTCCTACAGGTGCATCTGGTGAGGTGGGTCGTTTATCAACCACAGCCACACAGCGTATTTTGAATGGAAGATTTCCTCGCTTCGGTCCAGCAAGACCACGCAGTCTCAGGTTACCAGTAGAGTCAGTGGTTATACTGTCAGCGAAAAGACTCGAGTCAATTGAACGTCCCGTTGCGTCTGTGAATTCCCAACCGTAGAATACGTTGTATTCAGCTCGCATGCCCTCGGTCGATAGCCGCTCATTGGTCGTAGCATCTTAAACAGATGATAAACATGAAATTATTAGTTATGGTTAATTAAAACAAAATAAAACCATAAGTATTCACTCCAGCTCGGTCTCTTAAAACGTGAAAAACTTAAGAGAGCCGGGAGTATATAACTGCTTGACTTTTGAAGAACGCTCCTTGTAACTATTGGTTGAGGTTTTATTTATCAAAACAATGAATTAATGTGCCATGGTCTTTGGGCAAATAAAAAAGCTTTGTTCATCTAATGTGTCCGGTTTTCGGTCAGTTTGAATAAAGTAAACAGCTCTTTCTCTTCACTTACAACCGTTCAATAAAAAAAATTAGAACACCGCGATCTAAATCTATTCTCTAGTGTTCATCTCCGTTGTTTGTTCCATCCTAAAATTCCTTTCGATTTAACAATTAACAGCTTCAGTAAGTATGATAAAAAATTACTGCAGATCATACTGTTATTTTTCTGATTTCCGGCTTACTTTAAAGACATATTCTAAGCCACCAGATATGAGTGCCTTTTGAGTTGGAAGCGCGTTGAAAGCCTTTTAAAAATTTGATATTTGTATTACAAAACTGACTACTTTGATGATTATCAGTAGGTAATTTATGTGAGCAGTCATCATCAAATTCCTAAAACAAATCTTCGGCATGAAAAACTTTATAATTGGAAATGGGACAATTTACATCTCGATTGGACATAAATAAGTTTCCTGGTGGATAAAACGCACGCGGGACTCTTACTTCTTGCTTCACATGATACTGCCACACTCTCGTCCTCGGAACCGATCAGTTTTGCAGAATCATCCAAACCGGTAACCACGACCTTGATTCCGTCTGAAAAGGCAAAACGAATTGCAAGCTACTCATATGCTGTCCGAGAGGATCCTGGGAATGAAAAAGATCTTCGAATTATACTCAAACCACACTGAAATGCGTGTTGCCGCTTATGCATGAAACTTCCAACGTTAAACCAACTATTCACAATAAGAAAGCACCATTTTGGAGTAGATGACAAATATATTTCAATCGTCATTGGTAACTTGGTTTCGCTCCTATTAGATGCGTTAGGTATGCCAAAGGCAAATGAGCTTGCTTCTTGTATTCATCATTCAGTAACCAACACATTTACTTGGTTAGATTCCTATGTGAAAATTTGAGGAAGAAAGAAAATCATAAACTGGGACTGTGGACTATTGCAACCGAACCAAACTTTTTTTCAGTGTTGTTTTGAGGCTTTGCAACTGAAATAGTTCAGCAGACACTGACAGGGCAAGGGAAATATTCGTGATTTGCTTCCACTTGCTATGCAGATCGGTCTATGCATACTTGTTACTTGTAAGCCACGCGAAAAGCTAGTGTTGAATGATGATAGCTCTCGTTGGGCAAGCACCGGTATATCCCAACCAGCTTAGGGATGGAGTGGTCTTAAATATTGTGATGTGAGATTGTTCCAACCGCGGAGAAGATTGATAAAAGGAGGGATGGGAAAAACGGTCCGTGAGTGATAGCAAGTAAGCACGCCCAAGCAGACCAGTTAATTATTTTTTTCAGATAGGGACTTGTGATTAACCTGCAAAGAACGGTCTACCCAGTTTGGGTTTATTGATCTACTGTACATACAAATGATCAAGGAGGAAACAATTATAACCACCGCAGGATATCAGAACTTATGTGTACTCATCCGGTTCCATACAGACAATTTTATATCATTATATTATACTTTGCCCTCATAGCAAGGTGATCATTGATGAGTCAAAACTTATATTCAGCGATTGAGGAAGCTTCGTCTAACCGGATGTGTTGATCGCGCTCAAGAGCGTTTAACTATCAACCTGGAATACATCAAGGGGATTACGTTTGGACTAATACCGCACCGTTGTGAAGAGTGCACTCATGATTTACACGGGACAGTCCGATTATTTCAGCCATTGATTGTCTATACAGGTATGAACAAATACTGAAACCGTGATACAACTTTCAATTGCCACTGCGCACGAAAATGTGTATTAGATAACGTAAAACTCAAGTGCACTATGAGTCAATTGCATATGAAAACAGAGAAAAATTCCAACAGGAATGATAATTTTCACGTCAACAGAAGCGTGTGAAAGTGGTCTGGCTTTTCATGTGTAGACCTAAACAACTGAAAGTTATCCTCCTTTAATTGGACCTTAATTTTAAAGATCTACATGCAGAAACTAAAAAAAAGCACTTGACTCCGGGACTCATTACGTACCAGTTGGTCTTCCAGGAATAGGAACCACATCCGGATCCAAAGTGGTAGGCTTTTTCACCACGTCCACAGTGAAATATTCGGATCCGTAGACCAGATAGGAATCTGCGGAAAGAGATGGATCAACCTGATCGGCGGGTACGTGAACCACACAACGTCCTTTCACATTACGACCTTTTGTTCCGGGTGGTGCACGAATTCCACGCAATCCGAGGCGTTCACCGTTAGCCTCGACCGCCACAGCCACATTGGTTGTGGACACAGGGTCCTCGTCCATAAAACGCCATTCCCAACCGTAACGAGCACCTTGTCCGGGTAATAGTGGTTTGCTGCTGGCCGCGACCACCGCTTGACAACGGAGTGAAGCGTCATCACCGACGCGATTCACGCTGATCTGACCTCGTTCATTCAGACCGCTAATTTCCACTCGGACGCGTTTGTCGGAATAGGATGGGTTGACTTTCTCCGAAGCTTGATTGCAAATAAAGGAAATCAGTGGAGAATGACCAATTCATATAACACCTGTTATTTCGAGTTCGAAAGTAAGTCGAGAAAAGAGTTTATTCAGCATTAGGATAAATCATCCTTTCTTGTTTCGCAGTTAGTTTAACCAAAACACCTTTTATTAGCAAGCGCATTACAGAAATTTTTTGTACTCAATAAAATAAGCGCCCTACGTGCAGATTTTCGGCTTATACACGATTCACTTCTATTCCCAATTTTTTCCACCCCATTTTTCGGCTTTTTCTATCCATGGATCCTAGTGAGTAGGCGTGCCTTCAGTTTATTTATTTTTTTATTTCAGATTTGTGGTATTTGATTGACCCCATTTTTATACGCAAAAAACGTTTGTCTCTATCTACTCTGGCTTATCAGTCCATTTGGATCAGAACTGAACAATTTATGCTCCAGTCCGTTTGTACGAACTTGGCGTGAATCATTCTCACTATTGGCTTATCGATTATTGGACGAAAGATCACATAAGGTTTCCACCCGCGTGTTACTAAATTAGTATAGTCCGATGCTAAGGGGAACAACCACACCTCCAATCGAACAAAAGAAATCTGCTTTCAACGATAATTACAAATGCAACCATTATATTGTGGTACATCTGATATTTTCTATGGTGCTGACACTATAACATGGATCATGGTCGATAAATCAGAGCAGATGCTACAGTGCTACACCAACACTAACGGCAACTGGACATCTGCCGTGGTTATCATATTCCAGCACTTGACCGGCTCGCAGTACTTTTATTGTCTTGTTATGCTGTCCCGATTGATCGGCTTCTTATATCAATCCACCGGTTGGAATAGCTTAAACAGTGAACTTGACACTCGCCAAGCTAAAAAGAGCGGAAGCATAAATCATGCTGATTTTTGCAAATCTTTTAGTACGATCAAGAGTCTGTTACTGTTGGCAAAAGGAGTGTCATCATCACACGACAGGGCAACAGCTAACAAAAAGAGTAGCATAAGCATTCTAAAATGGGAATAAAAATATTCTCGTGTGAGACTAATGGGTTACAAGTAAGGTTAAGTCCAAGAAATCATCCAATCACATCACGAGAGGTAACAGAGAGGAAATGCTTTACGCAAGACACAATATTGTGTTTGTTGTTTTGCGACCCTCTGAATATGGCTATTTTTATTTGACTCCTAGTTACTTGTGAGCAGTGGCGCGGGATAAGAGTGAGTGAGTACGTTTGGTCATCGTTCATACGTCACCTTAACAAAGCACTTAAATTGATCCAGTTAGCCTTACGCTCGGAAGGGCTATAGACTCGGGCGTATATGATTGGGTGAACTAAAGACTGTCTGCAACACTCAAAGTGACTGGGATCGGTTTATCAATGCTTACGTTTTATTCCCTCGTCACGAACATCAAATGTGAAATACGGAGAGCTCAAGGTGACTCGTTGTTCCAATGAGACCACACAACGACCTCGTGCATTCGGATTTGGATAAAGGCCAGACAGACGTAACTCATTTTCCTCGGTCTGTTCAAAGCGGGCAGCCAGTTGTCCGGCATTCAGGGGTTCACCGGTGTCGCTTACAAATGCCCAGCCGATTGCACTATTTGGAATTGGTTCATTCGTTGTATCATCTGAAAAATTGACAAGTAGGGGGTGTAAACTCAAGCTTGTTTTATGAATTGCATTCTATAGAGAAAGGTTCTGGTGCTTAGAGGTTGCATGACGAGGGAATTCATGGGTAAAATCTAGACTTTCTATGGTATAATATATCTTGTATTTTATTACTTCAATGCTATTTCCATTGTTTCCGACTATGGTGAAATGGCATTTATTAAATAGCATGGGGAGGGGGCGAGCTCGAAAAGACCTGGAGTGATTGTCCTCACGTGGACTGATAACAACAGGCCTCACTGAAAAGGTTCAACGTCTAGTTAGATATAAACTAAATATGTGAAGGTAACTCTTGTGCCCGTGAGGATGTTCGTGAAAAAGGGCATAGATTTCTTTGATGGTCGGTATGAAAAACACTTTCCAGAAGGAGGAGGAGTTGATAAGTCTGTTGTCGCGGACGGGAGTAGCAGCTCTGTGCCCTCAGATCACCCAGTACGTTTTTCCGACTAGTTCTATGAAAAAATTCTGACATAACACTGAATGATATTGACATATTATCCATGGAATTCGTTAATACGACCGACAAAGAGCACTGAACAGCTCCTTTTAGGGACTAATCAGCAGTGCGTGTGTTTGTCCCCTGTGCGGACTCGAATCGTAAACCATCAGGTTGTAAGCTGAAATCTCTACCCCATGAGCTACACGTCCGAGGGTTAACAGCTTCAGTGAATGGCTATATTAGGTTCCACTGTTGGTTTTGCAGTTAGAGTACTTGAAGTAAGCAGCCCCATGATCACGTGTGTGATTTCGATGCCCAGTCACTTTAGCAAAACATGAACGGAACATCAGATGTCTCTCAGGTTATTAAATCAGTGGCTCCATTTGGGGATGAAGCGTAGTCTCCAGTAATCCATGACCAACCCAACGGAGTTACTCAAACTTTCGTTCTGAACTCACCAAACGCCTTACGGAAACAACACAAGGAGAACATGTGACCACAAAAACAAAAGGAGGGCTGAATGAACTCACTCATGGCACTACATTTCAAAGTGATATTGTCTCCCGGTTTGGCCACAACTCGTCGATTTTCGTCCAGACCTTCAATACTTATTCGGACGTTATAGGATATAGTCGGTGGAAGCGTCTCGCCCGGGATATCGGGTATCACCACTGAATCATCTGAAATGTTTAGCACATCAAACAATTTGGTAAAGCATTTTAAACCCAACGCCAGTGTTTCATATTTCCTTAGATGAAACAAATTTAAAACGGGCGCACGATAGAACCAAACTGACCACAAACTTAGAAAAAGGCATGCATTTCTGGACTTCGGTTAGATACTCAAAAGTAGCAGCACACATCGTGACATTTAAAGAACAACACTACAGTCCCTCATAGTGAGTGGTATTATTATATCTCCTCAAAGTCCTTACTTCCTTGGTGGAGGAGTAGCAACAAACACTAAGTTCGAATTACGTTTCCGATGGGTACTTTGTTTGATCAGTTCGATAGGCACTACGTGTGGTGTTAATATATGTATTTTAAACGTGTATTTGTCACAGCCAACTGCATTTTCACCCTACAAGTATAGCACGGACTGGTTCATTCAAGTGGAATTTCCAGAAGAATATATTTTATCAGTACGGATCCCAAGTGCAACATATGTATTTCAGAACTGAATGCAAAGAATTAACTAAATTCCAGTGAGTTACGTATCGTTTTGCTTGGAAACCGACCAGGAATACCGTATACGAAATCGAGATTGTACACCGAGACGTATTCAAATATTATTAAGGTATTCATACTGCACACATAACCTACTTGGTCCACATCCAGGGCCGTGTGGTCCAATAGAGAAATAGGCGCTACTGAATCGCAAGCACAGACCGGTGGTTTGGATTATCACACAACGTCCAAGCAGCGATAGACCCGGGTCCATCATCTGATACAAGTGAAGCTTGTTTCCTTCCTGTCGGACAGCTTTGGCAAGCAGATTCACATGAGGCAGTGGTTGTCCGAGAGGATGTCTCAGCTCCCAGCCATAGATCAGGTTATCCAAACCGATTCGAGTGTCTGTTTGCGAGAGATAAACACATTTGTAATGGGGTGCGTGGCACGGTCTGCTAGCACTCATGGAGCTTATCGAACAGAAAACGATAAACATACAATGTCCCTTTGATAAAATTTAATGACTTTCGCAATACAGTGGATGGCTAAATAAACTGATCGGTTCACACCTGGGTGAGCAAAATTTAAAAGCCGATGCCGCGTGTGTGTGTGTGGTCTCGCGGGTCCGCAGAAAAATCGTGCGTTATAGAGAGGCCTGAGCGGCGTCCACGCATGTGTTCGGATCACACCCAGGTGACTGATGATTTCAAAATTCAATCAAAGATTTATATTCTATCATAGGCCAAAAGAACATGACTTGGTATAAGTAAGGCATAAGTGAGAACAAAAACAATGACAGCTTGCTTATAGGCCTCAAAAACGTACTTTGATGAATTTGTAAACTTCGTCGAGTACAGAGCAACTGAAGATTGCACCGAAAAGCTAGAAAGCATCGAACAGCTGTTCCAACCTGTCTGGGTCTCGTCAGCATTACGAAATCATTGACCCAATTGGGGACCGAACCCAAAACCTCACAAGTGGAACGCAATCAAACCACTCACTCTATGTTGGTGTTGGTGAATTCTTCGATCAGGAAATGTTATACGGAACGTCTACAAACTACACGTCCAGCTCGGAGAACTCACCAACACCAACATCCGCATCCCGAGCTACAATCACTCCACATCACTTCAAACTCACTCGATGTGTTATCATTTTTTTCCGAACAGGATGTACATCCTGAGTATACACGGAGTAATAAGCATTATCTATCACATATAATCGAAATTAGGAAAGTGTGGTGATGGTGGTGGTGGCGGCGGTGGTTGTGCTCGTGCTGGTGCTGGTGGTGAAGCAGCATAGATCATTATCATACTAGATCGGATTTCCTGTGTTAGCTCCATTTCTTTATTTCTGTACATCTGAAGCCCATATTCGCTCAAGCCGCCTTCCTGAGCACTGGCTACACGGTTGTATATTCGTCAAAAATAGGAAGTAACTTTTCATAATTACTAACATAAATCGCCAAGCATTAATCTTGTCCAGTTCGACTAAATGATGAATAAGCAAAGATAGAATTTGCACATAGCCTCAATAAAACTATATCATTTGCGTTTGTGCAGACTCACCGTTCGGACGACAAATTAATGTCGCGTTTTCACCCACATTGACTGGTAAATGACCGCATCGATTCAGTCCATCGATCACCGGATGGATTTCTGCCATCGGATCCTTTGGTTTTACTATGAAAAGAAATAGTTAAAAGGGACAGGAGGAAATTCAACATAAATCAAATCAAAATAAGTGTATGCAAATAACCCGTCCGACTGTTCAATTGCGTTGTTACACTGTTTTTGTCCTTCACCTTCGCAGACCGAATCGAACGAAATCAGTTCATCATTGCTGGATATGTTTCTGGTTCTGAGTGAACAGCTTAGATTAGAATTCAGCATTTGGGGATTATTTGATCTGTTACACAAAAACAACCAGTTTATCATCGCGTTTTATTTTCGACGTATTAGTACTAATTGGCATTATTTGCATTATAGAGGCTCGATAATACCTATATCTAACCAAATGGTTTAACAGAGAATGGGGGCTTCTTGTGTGCATAGGGAGTAAGACATTAGTCCACTCCAACCTCCCATAATACTGATGACGATGGTGATAGAAATTTCTTTCACGATGCTTACCGCAAAAACGTTCGGTGAACTCGACTGACTGAAGTGATAACATACTGAGGCTACTGGCTACTGGTCTGGTTCTGTTATCAGTTACTAAAAGGTATCTTGATATACATTGATATATTCACCAATGTTTTCCGTTTCAATGTGGACTTTTCTTATTTGAGGCAAGTAGTCCATAACCGGACAACTTTCCACTTGAATGAGCACGGTTACGCCGAATCGCGGATGCACTCCCAGAGAATTCGGTGATTAACTGCGGGAGGAATTTTGTGATTTTATTTTTCCCATATAGGTATATATGTATGCTATACACGATGGATTTGCACTACTGATGTGCCCTAATAAAAGCGAAACTCGAGCGCAGTGCTGCCGAATGTATGGTTGTATCGATGAACTGAGGATTGTCCGCGAAGGTGTAGTTCGAAGGATAGTCAGTTTAAATCCTTCAATAATAATTACCACTTTGATTCCATGTTCTGTAAATCAGTTTGCTGTTACTAACCGCTACAAATAAAGTCATTCACACACTATTTATTGTAAATAATCTAAAAAGATGATAAAGTCCCCTTTGCTGTGGTTAGTGCCATCCAACCCAACTGCGGAATATCGACTAACAGTACTGATTCATCTAACGACCCTTTGATTGGCCGCTTCTCTCTTCCGGAAAACTGTATCATTGTAATTTCAAGAAAAGGAAGTAAAAATAAAAGGAAATAAAATGAACTGGACTGATTCCGAAAGGGTTCTCCAAATAAATACACCGGGCGTTGCAAATTAGGCATTTGTATGGGAAATACATTTTCTGGATACAAATATATGGATGAACTGGTAAAGGTTTACCGGATACACATGCCTAACGGGCGGCAAGAACCGCGATTCCGGTCATGGGAAAATTTTCCTGAGTCATTCGCCAACTATTTACTAAAATGATGTTACGTCAAAAAGAAAAATGAACTATGCATGCTCATTTTATTCCGTATTTCACTGCAAAGATAAAGAAAACTGACCGGCAGCACCAAGCGCTTTATAAAAAGATATCTACGATCACATAGTGTGATTTTAATATAAAATTTCGCATCCAATCCTGGATCCGGACATCCGTTTATGTCATTATGCTTGAGTAAAGCGATCAATGAACTCATAAATGCACTCTTTGGCCTTTTTAGTTTTGTTCCCTGTAAAGGAAAACTTTGACTGAAGAACCGGGGCAGTTTGGAGACAAAACATACGTGCAAGCATACTGAATCTTTTCAATGTTGGTGTGCCTTCGTGAACAAGGCTGAAAAGATCAGATAATGCAAGTATAAACTGTGGAAATTTGTTACAGTATCACGCAAGTAAATAAAGTTCACTTTTTGGCATTTCATTTCATCCATTCTGATCCTCTTCCTCATTTTAAGACGTTTCTTGAGAACGTTCCGAATGAATTTATCGATAAACGACAATGTTTGCCGGATGATAAATGACATTTCGAAGACATTTTCACTTTATCCCTCTCACCAGTCATCTTTCATATGAAAGTGTGATACCTTGGGAGATGGATACGCCATAATAGGGAGGGAGGGAGTACATCACAAGGTATAGTCTGTTGAAAAACAGTTCAACATCGGTTATCCTGATACAGATGTAACTGATAACGATGGGCTAGTATCTCACTAGTTGCATTACCAGTGTATCTGGGACAGAGATAAAAGGAATTTCGCTGTTACCGGTGTTTCAGATTCCACCAGAGGTGTTAATCCAAAGCACTTAATGTTGGTGGCACTGTAAACAGAAAGCTAAGTCGCGAGGTTTTATACGTATAGAGCGGTTTAAAAAAATATTTTAAGTGGAAATAAATATTGTGGATGTTATAGTATTATTAACACAGCTATGTCGGTAGAGAATTATATTCGCCGACGTTTCGGTTACCGTGGATAACCTTTCCCAAGGCATGTTTTACAATCAAATGACTCAGAGGAAAGGATCACAAGTTAACGGACATTTCACCATATATGTGTGTGTGCGTATGTGGGACTCTGTGTATGTATGCGTGTGGTGGGCTGAATGATTCGTTGTCCGTCATACGGACAAAGCAACTCTGGCAAAACTAGAACGAGACTCAGCGATCACACTTCACGCCATAGCCGAAGGTCACACTGTAGACTACGACAACCCTAAAATACTCCAAATCGGATTTCGAACTAGCACTGAACGTTCGTATGCCAAAGCTTTGGCGGTTCACACCCACTCTGCATGTATCAACAGATTTTGGAATTGACTTGACTTGAAATGACGAAATCAATATCCCGAGCATTTGGATTACCTTAACATCCCTAACGCGCAATCACGACAAAGGTCACGGTGCCACATGACCCCATCTGATAATGGGAGTCAGTATGACAGACAACGAATCATTCAGCTCACCACACACATGCATACACAGAGACACACATATGGTGAAATATCCGTTAATTTGTGAGCGTTTCCTCTGAGTCATTTGATTGTAAAACCTATCTTGAGAAAGGTTAGCCATGGTAACCGAAACGTCGGTGACATCGCTGTGTTATTAACACTATAACATTCACAATAAAACAACACATGGCGCATCTATTTTTCGATGCACTCCTTACCTCAGTTGGTCCAGATGTGTCGGAAATTAATATCATCACAAGTCAATTAACGAATTACTTTATTCCTCCTAATGGACAATTTTCAGCTTAGTGCCCTGAAGGCACTATCACATTTAATCAGTCTTTTGCTTATATCAACTTTGTATTATTTCCCTCTGGTTGCTAGCAACACTTATCACTCACTTGGTCTGTCTTCTTCACCCTCTTTGAGGCTAACTACATCCACGTAGTCCGAGGCAATACGGATAATCTTCTTTTGAGCGCCCGTTTGCGGATCTGGTTTGGGTAGGTCCACTTCACGTTCAACAACAACACGGAATTGTGTGGGCGGACTGGTTTCACCCCGTAGACCCTTCAGATTAACCACACCATCTTCGCCGTGAATAGTGATCGATTCTGCCAGTGTGGAAAACGGTGCGGATTGTCCATTTTCGTATCTGGTTTCCAATCCGAAATGTGTGATTGTTGGATCGGAGCTGATTGAGGATACCTCGTTGGTAACAGTGTCTTTCAGTGTGAACAAAAGCAAATGGAATAGTCTCATCATCATTTCAGCAACAAAATTTGATCTGTTTAGTACGATATCAAACTCTAGGCTACGATCATCATTAGACATGCTTCGTGTAGAGCAGTTCCTTCTAAAACCACTAAGGAAGCCGGAATCGAACCAGTTATCGTCCGTTCCTGTAAACAACTTATCTAAAACAAAAAACGTATCGGTCTTTACCGGTGATCTCGGAGACTGGGGAATCGAGAGAGAAGGAGAATAAAGATAAGGGGAGAGTTTTAAGATTGTTGATGTTAAGACCGAATTCCAACCGCGACCCTATGCACAGTATTTTAGGGCCCTTAATCCAATACCAGAAATCAGAACACACAGGAGAGCGTACAGATCGGAATCGGGTTAACAATTTGATGAATGATCGTGAGGGTACATCAATCGGCTAAACCATGACCTGAAACTAGATCTATCTGGCGCACAGACAAACGGATTGGAAGGGTATTATTCAGTGTCTATCATGACCAACTGTGATTGGACTGGCAATGTGACCTGATACGTGTACGTAGTAGTGTACGCAGTAGTTGACCTTGGTGAAAAGAGGCGACAGTTCAAATAGTTCCAGTAACGATCCTTTCGTTGTTCAGTTTAATTGAGAACATTGTGAAATGACCATTGTCTTGGTCGAATACCCTTATCGCGCGTGTACATTCCTTACGGACTTTTCCAACAATATCTTAATTGCGGTGAAAATGTTGTGATAGCATCGTCAACAATGCCAGGTGCCTGTGAAAAACCGAATGGGCTATTCCAAACATTCATCGTCTAAATATATTAATTGTTCACATTTAACTTACGGCTACTTGTAAAAAGTGTTGTGGGATGGTTAATATAGATTGATTAGAACTGACCATTCTTTAGACTTCACCTTCAAGCACATTCCTCAAATCTTCCAATCAACCATACACTCGAAAACACTAGAGTTGAGTTAGAGATCATCAATAGTGCATATCCACCGTCCCGTCCGGGATTTGAAAACCGGACTCATTACATGTGTTTGTTACCACTATGCCAACCAGTTGATGCCAGGGCCGAACACAATGAGGTTTGGTCAGTTGTAATCAATCAATATCTTAATAGTGTGAAGTGCATTTGCATATCTACCCTTTTGTTTTACTGCCTCAGACCACAAATCGCCCACACTGGGAAGTTGTTTAGCCTCAGAGCATCTGGCATTCACGAAGTCAGATTTGACGCATTCTCAACGCTCAACGCGAACACACACACCTGCGGTTTTGGCGCAATCGTCCGTGCTACTAACTTCGGGTTGGTCTCAAACTGTAACTTATCATTTTCGGAATGCGGTTATTGTTTACGCCTCCGGGTGAAAAAACGGAAGAATATGTGGTAGAAAGTAAATCACGGATTCGTACAGACAACCCATTGACTGATAGTGAATCCAAGCAATTGTGGCCTTCTTCATATCACACTACCGAAATTTTTGTGCGATTGTTGCATGCATAGCACAACTAGCTTCCATTCATTTGTCGTCGCCCGTTTCCATGTTCCATCTTCAAGCACAATCCACAAGTTTTCCAGTCAACTAGAATGCACGAACTAATACAATGATTCCGTGGTTTTATCCAAAATATTCTTTTGAATATCTCCTAAGGCTGTGCTTTTGGTAGGTTTGTAAATGAGAAATATAACTGCAGACATTTTTATTTTATATATTCTTTGGAGGGAGAAGGCAAAAATTTCACCAATTAAAGGGGGAATAAAATGAGTAACAACGTTTATTCTGCACCCATACTCACATATAATGCAATCAAACCGCGAATGTAAAATCAAGCATAGCAGTTGTTTCATAGCATGTCCTAGTGATGCCATCAGTTGAAACTTACCAAGTGTCTTGATCTCCAGTGTAGCATCTTCGCCTTGCTTGGCTTTCAGACGCCCATCTTCTGTGAGACCTCCAATCACAACTTTGTAGCGTGTATCATCGTCATCTAAAATGCAAATATAGAAACCTCAGTTTCAGAGGAGCCGATTTCCAAAGTAACAAAAATCAATTTTATCACTTTATGATGACGAGGTTGAATCAACCATTGTAACCATTGTTCCATACAAGCGAGTAAATTTGAGTTCCAACATATCACTTGGATACTATATCGTTTGAAAATTTTCAAATCGTTTGGCATCGTTTTCGAAACAAGTTCGGAGTGATCCTGAACAGCTGTGTATTCCTATCCCTGTAATCTCTGTCGATTTTGCCCCTCGAAAAAGGGGCTACGATTCTCCATAAAGTACTGGCAGGTTTGATTGGGTCATGTGCTACTGCCCCCAATAACAGAAACATTGCCGAATGTAACATTAGATAATGGGATAGAACAAGTGATTTTTTTTGCGTTTATTAACATCTTTGCTAGTGCTCCGTTACGCAAAGCAAACATTTTAAGTGCTAAGATAATGTTTGGGTAGATTGCACTGCCATTTATGGAATTGTCTGATTTGACATTTTTTGATGGCCAAACGTAGCATCTCATATTCGTTCATTCATTCTTTTAGAAGAACAAAATGTCAGTACTCACGGCGAAGAGTAGGATAAACGTGGCTAATTTCGATCATGTCAAACGACCAGTTATATTTGTTGAAAACACCCCTTTCCCCGAACCTTCTTATGTTCAATTCTGACAGTTCCATAGACCATGAAACAAACAGGATTGCACCGAAATGCCACCAATGCTCTACACTCGGATGTGCTAGCATCGTAGTACGGTCGATCGATATTTGTGCAGAGGATAAACACCCACTGTTGGCAACTTTCGTCCCCTTCTGTATTGACATTCAGTCCATACCTTTGTAATCTCAGATATCGTGATATCCATTTAAGACGTCCTGTGGATAGAATATTACGAACTAAATGAGACGCCCTTGAATGCTTGTCCAGCTGATGGCCGACACACCCATCATTGAGCTAGTTAGGGCATTCTGACAGCCACAATCACGAGCGTTTTCTGAGACGCACCACATGTGAGCGCATTAGATTTGCAATCGTGCAAGAGAAAGGGTGTTTGGGTGTGAATTCCAATAACATTCATGCCTCATCAATTTAACAAACCGTTTTCTACAAGGGCTCGTCTTTGTACTGCGCAAAACATAATCGGCGTGGTACGAGGATTTCCTAATTTGATACCAAAACTTATCGAATCGAAAGAACTATAATCCTCACAGCGCTCAAAATCTCGATCCACCTGCATCCCTGACTCATTATTGTCGCTTTATCCATTCAACGAAAAACATTTTATCTGAGGAATTCGTCGTTTAAACGAGGCGTGAGCTGAAAAGCACTGGATACCTGTTCGTACCTGGTTGAATCTCATCATTTTCTTGAAAAATGTCTTCCCATTAATCGTGTTTGGAGTTCTTGCAAAAGAGTGCCAAACTTGTAACTTTGCAATACAATTCTCTGTGATTACCAGAAAGGATAAATGAATAGCACCTGTCTCTTTCTTCAGCAAACTAGTCCGTGGCATGCTCTTTTTCCTACATCCCTGGAACCTTGAATTACTCTATGTATGGTATGGGTTTCGTCTCCGAGCCAGAAAATTCACGGTTAAAGTACCCAGTGCTCTCTGACTTTTACCGCAAATGAAGTGCATTTAGTATGTGACTAAACAACAAAATTCCAAAGGATCAAACCAATTCTTAGTATCATAAAGGGTGAATGGTGCTAAGTTAAATCGGATGGGCTAACCCTAGCATACCGTTATAAATGAATCGGTATGCTGTATGAGCTCATTGAGACAAAATGTGGAAGTCAACTGAAACTATCGGGATCACTTTTGTCTCATGATTCACTAAAGACTGGTTGGTTATGATGCGCCTCAGACAGGTCATGTGTCGTCGAACTTTCAGTAACCGATTTCTTGAATTCAAGAGACCGAAAGAAAATGACTGGTTATCAGACGTGATGAATACGTGTACAATTTGTATGCGAAAGCTCTTGTTGACAAGCATCCAAGTCTTTAAAAAAATTATATGCGTATTGGTCTGGACTGTAAAACTTCTCACATGCTTCGGGAGTTCAACAGTCGGCTCACCATTCGATTATCAAATAAAAGAGAGTACTTACCAACAGCGAAATCTTTGTATCCTGAAAAGTCCGATTCGGCACCTTCGGCACCCGGTTGAACTGTCCGACTTACATCAAAATCGAAGAAGTTTGATGACACTTGCTGACCTGGTCTGAGCGGCAGTGATTCAGTTGTGTTTTGACCTGCTGGATTCTTGGCCAGGCAACGCGCGCGTAAACCAGCTGCTCTCAGTCTTATTCCGACCAAAGTTAACTGATGTCCACCAGGTCCTTGAACCAGAGTGGCTTTTTTCGCAAGTGAACCAGTATCTATCGGAGATCCATCTCGTTGTTGAACTTCCCATGAGTACACTAGTCCATCAATCGGCTCAGATGTTTTCACGTCTGTTGTGCATTGGATGACGAGATGGAGGAATCGAGAGCAAGGAAATGAAAAATCCGTGGTGCAACTAAAGAAATCTTAATTCAATCAATAGTGACAACTAATATCCCCGAAAACTCTGAATCTCGAAAAGGGTAAGTATACATATGAACTTACCTATAGCTTTGCAAGTGAGNTCCACCCTCCGGGACAGTTACCAAATCCCGATCAACGCCATCCACGTATACCAAGACGCGATCGTCTGAAAAGTAGATCCGGCAACAAATGTCATTAGTTTCCAAAAAGCTCTTGCATGCACGTGATCCTAAATCACTTACCTGCAACATAATCTGATTACATACGTTATTTGTTTCTGATGTTCAGTAGTGAATATTGAAATCAACAGATGGAGGATGGCTTGAAATAACTGTGGTTCAACTTTAAGCATATAGTCCAGGTAGGTAGTATTTTCATTTGTGGATTGTGGATTTGTAACGCGATACTTCATTATGCTAAGATAGATCATGATGACCATTTAGAGGAAGAATGCGTCTGTCAAACTAGTAAACAACGGAACCGAACTGGAGATGTTTATTGCTGGTGTAGCCCGTGCTAGTTCAACGACCTAGGCTTGGGCTCCAGCTGTTGCCCATGAATCCTGTAGCTTAAGGACACCGTTTATTGTACCAGGAGAAAGACTAGTGGTTTATTTCTTGATAGCAATACGAAATTGCACACCGATAACGTGTCCCAAGAAGAATGAGAAACTTGAATCCTGCTTGATGTCAGGGTGTAAGGAAAGTATGTTAGTTATATGGTTCCAGTGGCTTCATTGCATTCTTTTGGGTTCACGGACACCGAAGTACGTCTTACAATTTGTCAGGTCTTGATTGTTTCGTTGAACTAAGATTGCTCAATTAATGCAACAAAAGCACTGGAACAAAAGGAACTGATTCCCTTTTCAACCTGTTTCTCCACTCACCTCGAGCTGCTTCCGAGAAGCCCCCCAAGGCTACAAAATAGTACCGTTCAAAACCTGACTGACAGGAAAAAATTGAAACAATAAATACACCGTATTAACAGGAAAAAATCCAAAACCATTCGGGGTATTTGACCAACAATAGGCTGATACATTTGTGATGCATACCTGTGGCCGGATTGATTGATTGACAGACGCTGCCTGCTGTCACAGTGTTTCGCATTCACGCGATGCGCACTGACTCCATTATAATATCGATCGGTTTCAGAGAATGAGGTGTTACTATTGAACTATCCACGCTGATTGATTCGTTGACTGTTTGAATGCCTGCTTGACCGCATTTGGATGTTGTGTGACGCTTGAGGCAATTGTTGGTCTGGCTTACTGTCTGTCTTCCTTTCTGCGTGTTGCCAGCCTCTGCTTGCTCCTCGGCCGACCAAACGCCTACATATGTGCCTACTGCATTAAATGCACTGCTTAGTTCACTGTTTGCTTATTAAACCACTTAAACGGGACACAACAGGGTGCTATAGGAAAAAACCTGATTAGGATTTTTTCTGTATGCTCATTGTACTTGTTGTTTGAGTTCCACAACAATGAGTCACTCGAATAATAATACTAACGATTCCATTATGAACTATAATGAGCCATTAAAGATCACTAAACTAAGCAAACCCATACATTAAGTAAAAATAGACCAAGCGCTTTCGAGCACCAATAGCCATCACTAAACCGGTCCCTTTAATACAAAATGTCCTTTCTCAAAATGCCCCCTATTCGGTCCTTTCCAATTACAATTTATCATATTTTCGATCCTAAAGGATAGCATGTATACAGTTTCGCAGTTGCTAAATTGCCACCCGATAATCCTCCAACTTAATCTCCCGATGACCACACCATCACCCCCACCTCCCACCTGCATACACATCATCCATCACCTTCATTCAAGACCACGAAGNACCACGAAGAAAAGCACCAGCGTCATCTATCGCGTCAATCATTAAGAACACGATTCGGATTGAGTAATCGACGGATTTGGTCCATCAGAACCCTTTGAAAATCTCCGCTGTTTGAGGATGCGGTATTTGACAGATTTGAGTGAATAAAGGTTTTTATGGGTCATTTGCAACCGAAAACCTTATGCATAAAACCAGTTAAATTATATCAGTTTGCACAGCATTAACTGTTGTACCAGACTTGTAACTAACTCTTTTACCTTCACGTAATGGATCTGGACGAGTGATCATTTTGTCGGGATCTGTGGATGTCGGGTGAATCAGAACGAACGGACTGGATTGGTACACATTGATCTTCTGCGGACCATTTAGGTCACCCGCATACGGTTGATAGAGGACTAAGCAACGACCTTCAATCGGAAATTGATCGCGAAGATGTTCCGGCAACCTCAGGGCCCGTTGACGTTGGCTTACGCTCAGCTGATTGCCTGAAGATTCGATAGAACTGAAGAAGTAGCCCGGATGCACCTCTTCATCATTCGCGGCGGTAAAGACCCACTCATAGGCAACGTCAGTTAATCGGCTTCCAGTTTTCACATCTAAACAAGGAGATCATGTGTAAGATTTCAGATGAATGAAACAATGTTTATTTATTGGGGAAGTACTAAAAGAGCTCTTGAGGATATATATTACCGCGTAAAAATGTAATGCAGATAACCTTTTAGGAAATACTAAAAGCAAGAACTTCACTTGAAAAACGGATCACAAAAGTTTTTCTAAGAAACATCGAATTCAACGTTTAGAAATGCAAGACTCTATCGTTGCTCCATAATGGCGCCTTCCATACGTACTCGGAAATCAGCCATTACTGCGTGCTTCAAAGCAAAAGGATCTAGAGTCATTGTTCGTGACGACCTAGGGTGTTCTATACATTTCATAAGAGCGTCATCAAGCAAGTTGGATTAATAAGACGTGTTTTGAATCATTGGAAGCAAACCTATTGCCCCGTTTACTATCAGCATATATTGTACCATGCATCATTTATGCTGTACAAGCTAATTCGCCATCAAAAGGTACTGGAACTTTCATAGCGAACAGTAACCAAAATGATCACAGGGTTACAATTAAGAATCGACGATGAAAGGCTGCTTATTCTCGGACTCTATTCATCTAAGTACCGCCGAATACATGGAGACATGATCCGCGTATATCAAATACTACATCAACCTAACAACCAGTACGGTATTCTACCAACACTATCCAGAAATGGTCACCCCAGGGAACATCTTTTTCTCTTTCAGTCCCATAATTTGTAACTCGTCGAACTCTCTTCCAGCACAAGTTGTTTGTGCCCCAATCGTTGATTCATTCAAATTTAAGCTCGATGAAGCATGAAAACATTTGACTGTTTAGCACACATGATTGGATAAGATAATTTGCAATTTAATTGGAATAACAACAGAACCCAGTGTGTACAGATCTTATGGGATTCAATAAGCATCATCTGTGTAAACTATCCGTGATAAAAATTTGAATACTACTGTGTTTCATATTTCTCTTATTATCTACCAGCAGTGCCAAAAAAGTAATTTTAAGCTGCAATGCTCAGTTACCCGGTGCCAGAATTAATCATTCAAAATTTACCATCTAATTCAAATGCTTTAGTAAAACTGGAAGGACTCGGGACGGTCCAACGTGAGAACACGCACACAAACCGTGTTGTGATGTATACTGAAGTTTTAAACGCATTGTGAGGGCCTATACGGGATCTGATCCAAAATGGCGAAGTTCTATAACTGGAGCGATAGGGAATCCGCCCAAGATCAAAGTGGGGAATCTAAGCGTTGTCTTAACTGCTCTCACGATTTTTCTAAATTATCGAGGTATCACAAAGGCTACATTATGAAAACAATGCAGTTTCTCGTCAATAAAGAAGACTGATTGCGGCATTTGTCTTGATACGGTGTTTTGGTTGAATTAAAAAATACCTAGACTATATTAATCGTGGCTCACACCTCGAGTTAGTTCGATTAAGAAAAGAAGCTGACGAAAACAATCGTATTCACCTCTCCCACGATGACCCTATCATCGTGACAGCAAATTGAAACTTCCGTCATCCGTGAAATTTGAAATACTTTTTAATTTAACAGTACAGGTAGTTTGGTCTATTTGTAATTGTACAGTACTGGTTTTCGCGAGATGTTGAAAATTGTAAGGCATACAGTTGTGAGGATATCCGTGATATACTATAAATTGAACTTTACAGCTTAACCAGTTTCTCAGTTCATTCTGACTAAAGAGGACTACAATAGATATCGGTTTGAAGTGGAGGATATTTGTCCCAGTCGATTGACTTTTGGTGCACTTTATTAGCAACGGTGAGCAATCTTCGAGAGCAACTGCTTTCTGAAGAACGACTGTTGTAGAAAAATGCCCATCCAACAACAGATGGACTTACTGTAAGCAGCACATGTGTATTTTCGATCATGCGTTGTACCGATTTCCTGTACCTCTACGCGTACTCGACCATCATTACCTGAAAAGTGAAAACGAATCGCGCACAAAGGTGTGATTAGTGAACAGCATGAACAACATCGAATAGCTCGAGATGCATTCGTTTTTATCACATCAAAGCACATTAGATAAACCATACATTTAAGTGTTATGACTATCTAGCACATACCTGCTGGCCATACATACACACCCCACCGAAAAATACGAAATGTACACTTAACAGTTGCAACACTGGGTGTTTCGGAGCGATCAACTGATGAAATAACAACTAAGAACGGGGTGCCTTAATTCTTTTTATTTTTGATGAATGGTGGTGACGGATGAAAGTCCACTCACCGGATGGAAAGGTACCAAGGATATCTATAGTGGCTGTGGACATTCTACCTCAAACGGTGATCCTCGAGACACCAGTTTCTATTTTACTGATTACTTCTTGTCATCGAAGCTTCGAAACACTTGAATGGGATCTGCCGTCCCGTAGTCTTTGTATAGTTCACAAAATAGACTCACCATTTTCAAATAACCGACCGAGCGGTTCTTATAGGGCGTAAATAGTAAGTCGTATGATGTGCATTAAGTAGTATGGATTTTCAAGTCTGATTAAAAGTTGTCTTCGTTCATTCGAAATAGTCCTCTTGTCGCTTATAAATTCATCAGTGCTTAGTGCTGTCCACTTAGGACTCGATCGTCGTCTTTCTCGGGTATAATAAAACTTTATATTTTCCGACTATCATACGAAATGGCCGTGAAAACAAATGCAAATTACCAACAGTGGATTCATTGTATACTTGAGTCTGCATACAGTCAATCTCCTGCTATGTCGCACCTCTGAGAACTCGCATTTTCCAGTATCTTCCCAAATGTTTGGAAAACCGAAACCAACCGCATGCGTCATAACGTAGATTCTGACCACGCAATGTCGCACCCATCAACATGTTGCGGGTCCTGATACCTAGTCACTTGGTCATT